CAAACTCCTGGGCTCAAGCGATCCTCCTGCCTCAGCCTCCCGAGTAGCTGGGACTACAGGCATGCACCACCATGCCTGGTTAGTTTTTTCTATATATTTTTAGTTTCCAATTAATTTCTTTCTATTTTTAGTAGAGACGGGGTCTCGCTCTTGCTCAAGCTGGTTTCAAACTCCTGAGCTCAAACAATCTGCCCGCCTCGGCCTCCCAGAGAGCTAGGATTACAGGCGTGAGCCACCGCACCTGGCCAGGAAGGGTCTTTTTGATTTAATTTTATTTTTTTAAAATACAGTCAAAGTTAGCAATGAGGGGTTGTATACCAATTTTGGTGACACTAACGTTAATAAGTTCTGATAACCCACTACCATCAGACCAGCCCAGAAGGGTCTTTGAAACCCTCCTTGTGCAGCCCAGGTAGATGTCAGCATCAGAGCCTGTGTAAATTCGAGACTGTCTGGTGTGGTGGAAAGAACACTGGAAGGAGAGACATGAAGTCGGTTTCCATCCAGCTCTGTTTCCTGACCAAATAGAGAATTCTGAGCATTGGACGCTAATTCCTGCCTAGCTCCCACCCTTCTGCCCCTGACTGTTGAGGAATAAAATAAGATGAAGGCTAGGGAGGTACTTACTACCAGTAAGAACTGAGGTTAGACACCAGGAAGGACTTTCCCTGGAGGAGGGAGGCGATGGGGAGAGGGCATGGCAAGGGCAGACGACAAAGCCCCTCTCTGGGGGACATTCTTCCCTGTCTGGGGCTCGGGCTCCTGCAGGCTCCTAACCGGCTCCTTCTGGCGCAGGGATGCCGGGCCAGGCGCTGCGGCTGGGGGCGTTGCGGGTGCTGCTCTTCAAGCTGCTGCTGTTTGACGTGCTCCTGACCTGCAGCCGCCTCCGCGCCTGCCCGCCGCCTTCTCCCGCGGTGGCCGCCAGCCTGCGAGCCCTCGGCCCCCACCGGCTGCGCCCGGCCGCGGTGATCGAGGGACGAGAGGCCGCCAGTTCACCCAGCCCGCTGTGGGCTCTGCAGCCCCGCGGCCGCTGCGGCGATCACGCCCGTCCGGGTCGGCAGCCCCGGAGCTCAGTCTGGCAGGAGGGGACGTTCTCAACCAGCCGAGCTTGGGGCTGGTGCTCCTGATGCGCCCTCACTACTCCTTCCTCAAGTCTAGGAGCATTTTTTGTACTTGACCTTCCTCCTCCTGCAGGCCGGAGTTTCCTGGGGCTGGGCTCTGCCTGTCCCCCAAGACTGAGGACTTTCCGGGGAAAAAGGCTGTGTCTCTCCCATCAAGACTGGGAGCCCCTCGAGGGTGGGGGATCCACCCAGGTCCTGGGGCATTTGAGGTGCAGAAACTGAGAACAATTAAAGAAGAATGTAAATGACACAAGCAAATGAAAAATATTTGAATTCACGTCTGCCCTGGGAGGAGAAACTTGGCAGTTAGAGGAAGCAGAAATCGAGAAGGCTGATGTGAAGAAGAGGGCTTCCTGACAGTGAGAACTGGGGAACTGCAGAGCGGGCTGGCAGTTGGGGAGGAAACTGTCCCGTCTCTGTCTCCTTCCCCCACAGCCAGGCACTGGGCAAGGCCTTCTGTCTGTCTCCTCACCCTCGCCCAACCTCCGTGAGAGGTCAAGGCAGGGAGCCCAGGAAGTCAGGAAGGTGGGTGCTGGGCCTGATTGTGGTCTTGTACGGACTCGACAGAAGTGAACAGGGCCAGGATTCCCAGGTAATGGGATCGTTTCTAATGCCAAAAGCATGAGATGGTAATTCCAAACTTACAGGTTATTAATCAACTAAGGGTCATTATTAATTTGACAAATATTCATTGAGCATCAGTTCTGATCCAAGTACTAAAGAGTTTGGATTTTTGGTTTTGTTTTGTTTCTTAAACAAGATTCTTGCACGGATAGAATATGAGGCTTGCACAGTGGAGTGTAACCTGTGCGTCTCAAATGCTGGCAGGAAATCCAACCTTTCTCCAAGGTTCCTCTCCAGTAATTATCCCAAGAATCTCTGTGTGCTCTCGTGTGAATCCAGATCTCCCCTGGGTACCACAGGACAGTCTGCTGGATCAATGGCACCACCTTAGCACCTTCCCCCAAGATGGGGGACTCAGACTTTCTCCAGCCATGTCCCTTGCCAGCGGTCAGCCTAGATGCTGAGCCCAGGCCTTCTGCCAAGCTAATTCTTGCCTCCATAACTGTCCTCTCAGAGGCCCATTTGTCCATTCCAGAAGCAGGGCTTCCCTCTTTCCCCATCATGCCCAAATTCCCCAATGCTACTCTGCCCCAGCCTCTCCATCCCCACTGTGGCTGGCTTAATGTTATTTTCCAGGAGGGCTTCTGAGCCTAGGTAAATCAAGGGCCATGGCCAGGATTTGGGCCTATCCAAGTCTTATCAAGCCTAGAGAACATGAGGGCCTCAGGAGGGTGTCCTGATCCTGTACGCTGTGGAATTCCACATGCCACAGCCCCTGCCTATCCAACATGCCTTGTTTCTAACACAGTTGTTTTGAGCAAGAACCTAAGGTTAGAAAATGACAAGTCATGGCCTAGGCCTCAGTCCTTTGAAGTCTCATAAGATAGCATAAATGTCCATAGGAAACATAGGTATTGGGGAACAAAGTTTTATGGGCAATTTGCAGACAACTTCCCACAGAAGCAGCCTTGGTCTGTGTGTGTCCATAGGACACTAAGCTCAGGCAGCCTGAAGCAGCCCAAAAGACCCAGAGAGTGCTCCTCTTTTTTTGACACAGAGTCCCACTCTGTCGCCCCAGCTAGAGTGCAGTGACATGATCATAGCTCACCGCAAGTTCAAACTCCTGGGCTCAAGCAATCCTCCTAACTCAGCCTACTGAGTAGCTGGGACTACTCAGCCAGGACGAGAGCGCTCTTCTCTTAATGACACAGCAGATGGGAGTCTTACTGATTATCTCCTGTGCCAGGCAACCTATTGTTGCTCGGGAGGTGGAAGGGAAATACAATCATTCATCAGCCAAGGTCCTGCGTTCTGGGAGCTCAGAATCCAAACAAATAAATAATAGAGCAGTAAAAGGGACTTGGATTACATACTAAAAAGAAAACTGGGGCCGGATGCAGTGGCTCAC